TTGAGGGAAGTTTGGTTTTTAATTTATGTTTTAAAATATTGTTTTCCATTAATTTATGAAATATTGGACCACTCTGAACCCCATGCTCCAGGGAACGAGGTCCTGCTGAGAACAGAGAGCTTTAGGTTCAGCTGGTCCCTCCACAAACATTTCCCAGGACTCCAAAATGGCAGACTACAGGTATTTCTCTATACATCTTGTGAAAAGCTGTTCCGTATGTTTTAACCTAAAAACAGAAACCCTAATTGTCAGGGGAAGGAAGTTACTGACAAAAAAGAAGAGAGGCCCTTATTGATTATAATGTAACAGCAGCTGGAGATGAACAGACCTATTCAGTCTCAGTCCATCCTCCTACAAGGGCAGACTACAGTCCCCTGACAGAAGATATATCCAGTATTAAACTAACACTATGTTTAAGCTTTGTCAAAAAAGGTCAAATATCAAGACTTTCCAGGGGAAGTGAAAAATATTTCTCCTTTCCCCTTGATGGGTTTATCCACACAGAAATTGGCACATTTCAGTCCCAAAGTCACCTGGAAACTTTTTCTTACCGGAACTTAGAATTTGACAGATTTCCTGAGAAAACAGGACTTGCATACTGTGTTGATCCTAAGCAACAAAGATGTGGGGCTCTGTTTTGCTCTATCAAATCAGACTCATTTGCTCATTGCAGTTTTATACAGTACGTTTTGTAGGCTCAGCTGGGGCCTGGGCTACAAAACATAATTTTGCCATCAGAATTAAAGTCTAATAGAAAAACTATGAATGTCTCTACCCTTACCACTCCCCTGCAGTGGCAGAACTCTTTCTTTCGGCCAAGAGAGTTACATCACCTCTCTGACCAAAGGAAGGCTTCTGCCCGGTCTAAAAATTGGCAGAAGATGAGCGTAGATGCTCCTGCAACATAGATGCTCCTGTGCATTCTGCCAACTGTAGCAGTCCCCTCAGCAGCTGATGCTTTTCCAGGGTGCCCTTGGTACCCTGCCTGTACAGCTACTGCAGTGGAGCTGTACAGAACCACCAGAAGAGCCTGAAAGTGAGTATGCCTTGACAGCAGTGGCAGTAACTTTCTGCTACCAGAGGATTCTTGTGCCAAGGTCAGTCAGCTTAGACAAGGCCTAGTGAAGGGTTTCCGGGGGGAAGAAATTAAAAAAAAAAAAACTAGTGGAAGGGACAGTGAGGTAGGTGAAGAAAGATGACAAAGGGGAGAAAAATCAGTGAACAGGTGGAGCATTAAAGAGGGCAAAGAAAAACAGTTAAAAAGAGAGTGATCAAATGGAAGTGAGCAAGAAACACCAGACATAATAGGCTTTGATTATGGGAAGGAAATACTAAGTAGATGGAGGAGAATAAAAATGCAGTTTGTGTGAACAAGGAAAAAGAAGAATAAACTTTAAAGTTTGTGTTGACCTGCTTTGAACAGCAAGGGAAGGTAAATCAAACCTACAAAATTAGAGGCACATCTGAAAAAAGCGATTTAAGAACTGTATGGGAGTCTGGCAGTATGAGGCTATATATATATGATTGCTGAAGGCAGTTGCAAGCACCCGCTTATAAAAAGAACATTATAGCAACAGAATGGGTACAGTAGAAATAAAAGGGACGATAGAGGGAGCCAAATTAATTTGAAAAATATAGCCAAAATTAGGACTGTGGCTCTCTGGAAAAAAGAGAGATTAGAAGACTTAATTAAGATTCACAACATTCTTAATGGGATAGAGAGCTGGGATGCTACAAAGCTGTTTGACCTGGTGTCAAGAACAAGGGGAGATGCGACAATAAGATAAGCCTTGGCTGGACACTGTAGGAATTCAGGGAGGAATGTCAGTAGAGAGAAACATACATACAAATAAACTATCCTACACAGCAATGGGGGGAAGTAAGAGACTTCTAAGAAAGAATTACACAGAGTTTAGAAGGCAAATGGTATTGCAGAGTTTTGATAACTGCCCAGATGAAGGCTTTGCTTGAGATTTGGCATTCTAAAATTGTATATACAAAGTCATTTATGTTTTATACTGAGCTTGTGTGTTGTTAAAATGGTATTTGTTAGGCAGCGATCTCCTTCTCTGCACTTACTCTACCGTAGCTGCAGCTGGTTTAATCCAGTGCAGGCAGATACAATACACAAGAGATCAGCAGCATCCCCTGCTCAATACTGAGTCTGAGTCGCTGCTTTTTTGAAATAGAGGCAGGATCATTTTAGTCTAACATATTGGTCTCATGTAAATCATAAATCGCCTGTCCAAGGCAAAACTTTTTTGGAAAGAAATGCAGGCTTAGTTCTGGAGAAAATAGAGACAAAGATTGTATTTAGGAAAGGTAAATAATAAATTGGCTAGACAGTGTATGTTTAAGCAGGCATTTTGGAAGGTTGAGCACAAGAGAACTTGAGAAATCTTTGCTGTGGGTGTGACCTTTACAACACAAGAGAAGAGGGTCTGTGTCTGAGGCACACTTGATTTTGCCTGTAGTACATATAACAGCATTTATCCATGTTGTTCCTGCATTTCTATTTTGACATTCATACCCCCCCATCCACATAAGAACATAGGAATTGCCAGATCAGACCAGTGGGCCAGTGTATCCAGTATCTTGCTGTTGCCAGTTGCTAGTACCTGATACTTCAAAGGAAGGTGTAAGAACACCCTTAGTGGACCATTATTGAATAGCCTGCCCGTGAGGGAAATTTCTCACTAATCCCCCACCATCAGCTAGTGGTTATGTTATGTCTTGAAGCCTGAGGGTTTATACGCCTTCTCAAATGTATTTATATCCTGTCTGCTGTAACCATGAATGTTCTCAATATCCATATACATGTCTAATCCTTTATTGAATCCTACTAATCTCTTGGCCTCAACGAAACCTTATGGTAACAATTGCCATATGTTAATTATGCACAGTGCAAAGTATTTCCTTTATCATTTTAAATTTGCTGCCTTTCATTTCCATTGGCTATCCCTTGATCATATGAAAAGGGGTGCACAGGAACCCAGCATTTACCTCCCATCGGTCACTCGTTATGTTATATAGCTGGTCGACCTCCTTTATGTCTTTCTTGTCTAACCAAAGCAGCTTTACTTCCATGGTAGTGTCACATCTCTCAAATTGCCTTCTTGTTCTCTCGAGTCTCTGCTTTCAGAACAAGAGCCCTTGAAAACGCGAAAAGCATGCAAACCAACATAGTGACATCTCAAGCCGATGCCTGAGACTGGAGGGAGCCTGAAATAGTAGCTGAGAGGTGTGAACTGTTCTATTTCAGTTGCCATTATCTCAAATGCCAGTGATGCCAATCAGCGACATCACTGATCTCCTGCTCCCCTCCCCCCAAATCAAGGAGCCAGAAGGACAGCTGAGTCTCACCAACAGAAACCAGCCCTAAGGAGTACGCAGGACATGGCAGACATATGCAGGACCCAATGAGGAGCACAGCCACGTCTGAGGAACCCGGAGGGCACAGATGGTTGTATTTTCTATCTCTGAATGATCTCTTTGGGAACAGCTCCCTAGTTGTGTGCCTGGAGGGGGCGAGCCTGAGCAAACATCTGGCTCTCATAGGATGCTTTTCACCCACCTGTAGGTTTGGGAGCACTTTAACAACCAGAGGTGCTCCCTATTTTACAAGTGGGGGGGAACCGAGGTCCAAGAGCCCTGACGTGACTTGTCCAGGGCCCTGGTGTGTGCTGTGAGGAGGACAGAAAGTTGCCAAAATACTGCCCTGGTCTGCCAGGGGCAGAACAGTGTTTTCTTCCTGCTACACTCAGGCCAGTGTCTCCTACACCCCTTGCCAGGCCCAAGGGCAGTGCCTCCACGTCAGCTAGGGAAGGGAGGGCTGGCTCAGGCATGGGGGGAGCAGCTCTACTGCAGTCCTGGACACAGGTTGGTGCTGGGGTTTGGGGGGGCACCTTCAACAGAGGAGACCGGGGCTCTTATTAGGGGTGAGAAAAGCTCAAGCAAAATGGTGGGGTGGGGTGCAGTTTTATGGTATCAATTGAATGATTAAGTAAACAACTGGATGAGGCAGACGGGGTTCTTTGGGCGAGTCTGATATCTTTTATTAGACCAACTTAAATAAAAGATATCCGATTGACCCAAAGAACCTTGCCTGCCTGTGTCTGTAGACCAGCGCAGCTGCAACCTACCCCCCTGTAACTTTGTGATATATCTTTTATTGGACCAACTACAGTAGTGGGGAAAAATTGTTCTTTGCAAGCTTTGTGGCACAAACGCTCAATGCAAAAAACCATCAACCATCCCCCCTACCCTAATGGATGATTTAGATTAGACATGTATATGGATATTTGGATTTTTTGCACAGGAAGCACGTGAGGGTGGGGGGCACTCGGCACCTCAGAGTCAGCAGCGGCGGGGGGCGGGCGCCAGAGCCCGTTGTTGTGATGGGAGGCGACCCCGCCCCCTCCGGGTGCGCGGCCCCAAGCCAACGGCAGCCCCCTCGGGCCTC